TTGGCTGTGAACTATATTGATAGGTTCCTCTCTTTATTGTGCTGAGAGGAAGGCTTCAGCTTGTGGGCAATGCTGCTATGCTGCTAGCCTCAAAGCTTGAAGAAATATATCCCCCAGAAGTAGCAGAGTTTGTGTATATTACAGATGGTACTTATACAAAAATTCAAGTTCTGAGAATGGAACTTCTAGTTTTGAAAGTTCTTGCTTTTGATTCAGCTGCTTCAATAGTAAATCAGTTTCTTACCCAGTACTTTCTGCAACAGCAGCCAGAAAACTGCAAAGTTGCAAGCTTTGCAATGCTTTTGGGAGAATTAAATTTGATAGATGTTGACCCATACCTAATATATTTGCCATCAGTTATCACTGGAGTGGCCTTTGAAAGATCTTCTGAGGGGGAACATAACACTATACCATCTACATATTGCAAGACTGATGGGAACAAACTAGTATTTCCTTTTATCAAATCAGGATCTAGGGATGTCCTCATCTCTTCCTGATAAGTAGCTAACAATTTAAAATAACTGAAGTGCTTATTTCTCATGTTTCTTAGACCTTTAAGAATACATGCCTGAAAATGTCTTCTATTTTAATCTTCTATCTGATTGGCAAGCCAGTAGGGGTCTTGCATAAGAACTGCTTGTGTTCCAGTAGAAACCAGTTATTCCCTTGGTTGCCTGTCTTTTGAGCTTCCAAAATTAATAATATATTTGACTCTAAATTTAATACTACTTGTCTCTCATTAAAAACCAGTATTTGATTTAAGGGAAACATTACATCTTTCTAATCTAGGTCATAGGTCTGAGTAAATTCTCTAAAGATCTCAATACATATCAGGGCCATCCAAAAACTTTATTAGGTCTCATTTAATCTGTCTTAGATCACTGAGAAAAAGACACATGAACACAAATAGTCCCGTATTTGCCATTTACTTACTGCAAGGGATATTGTCTTGAGAGGACTGAACAACTTAGCTAAGGATGGATATAGCCTCATAGAGATTAATTGTGGCTGGCCTAGAAACTGCACCCTCAGCATTTGGTGGTCAAGGCTTAAAGTTGTCTTGGAAACTTTGTTCTCAGGTTCTAAAGGGTGAGGAGTAGCTTCAGGGTTAGAGGTACTGAATATCTTAAGGGTGAGGTGTCTCTCATTACATTTGCACTTGAACTCAAGCAAGAATTACTTAATGTAAACAAAATTTCAACATAACTTGATTTTGACCATTTTTTCTTTTTCATTATAATTTTAATTGTGAGATAGCATCATCATATTTTTCTCTGTGTACTTGGTTTTAGGAGTAGGCACACCATGTGCAGGTGTAGGGAAATACTAAATTGCTCCTTAATACATTTGAAAGGAGTGAGAGGCTCAGATATGGAGCTCCTAATCTGAAACAAGAGAAACAAGCATGGCATCCCATAAGTCTCTTCTTGATTCCTGTGCCCCCTAGGGCATCCCTCAAAGTTTATTCCACTCCAGAGTAGGTAGCTACCATCTGGAGAGACACCCAGAAAATAAAACAACTGGACTATCTACCCTTTACCAGTGCACAGTTTTATCTTCCTCAGGTAACTCATATCCTTACTCCAGTAAGTACTCTTAAAGCACAAGTCACAAATGACTTCAGCTCTATCATGTTTAGAGAAGTATTGCTGGCAAACCAAGAGATTCAAACCATTGATTTCTAGTTTCTTGAAAGCTAGAGGAAAATAGGTAACAGTCAAATTATGGCACTTTTCCTGCAAAAGAGATCATCTCTAGAGATGGTAAATCAGAGATTCTTCCCTGGGGCCTATGGTAGAGAAAGCTCTGGGAAATTTCTGTTGTCTATCCAGTCTTTTAGGCAACTTTTATTAGCAGCAAGACAAGGCTACTCCTTTAAGGTCCATTTTAAATTCACTAAGTATTTGAAACTCCTAGGTCTTCCTAGCAGCCACAGTCCACATTGGTAAAAGGCACCTTTATCAACTGCCTATGTGCACATATGAAGGAAAAGAAAGGCTGACCAAAATAGTACCATATTCTAGTTAGCATGTAAAAACAAATGCAAGTTGTGGATTGATATTTTCCCTAGTGTAAGAAAAAAGTCTTACTTCTAGAAGAAGGATCAATTTGACTATGAGGGATTCTCGAATGAACTCACAACAACTTGGAGAAAAGTTTAAGTGGTGTTTCTAACTCACTAGCACAGAGAAAAAGTCCAAATAAAGCTTAAACTGGTTAAACATTAAAAAAAATCACCATATATCTTTTTATAAGTCCACAGTAAACGTTCCAAAGTCCATAAACTATCAGAAAAGGCATTTTTCCTCCCCTACACACATAAATGATAAAGACAATGCCTAGGAGGGGGAGAAGGTTCAGTAATTTTTAATCTGTGAAGGATTTGTTTTTATATTTGTCTAGAGGTCTATCTTACTCGTAGTAGAGAAAGCAGTTCAAACCCCTTAATGCAGGCTTAAGAAAGGGCTCTGATGGTATCGTTTCAGATCACTCTGAGATGGGTGATACCTGCTGGTCACTGACAGAATTCCCCTTTCAACTCACGGAGGAGTCCAGATAGGACAAGATGTAGAGGTTTCCTGCTGATTACCCAGATGGGCTGTTGGGAGATAGTTTCTTCTGAGGGATCTTTGGGTATCTGCCAGAGAGTAGCCCTGGCTGCGACCACTCAGTTGTCACCTCAGTTCCAATAGTTTTATGCAATCAGAGATCTGTCTCCAGAAGAAATCCAATTGCCTATCTGGCCAACATTCCACCCACCATTGGCATCAATGGGAATGAGGCTTCACAAGAGGAAAACTGAAGAAACCTGTCCTCTGCTTTAAAAGTGGCAGTTGCCCTAAAGGCAATTAGTAGCTGGCATAGTAACCACTATTTTTTAAGATTCCGCAAGGGACAGATAAAAGCCTGAACTTTCTTTATCTGAGACAATTTCACAAGACACCCACTTTATAGCATTTTGACACAACTTTTCTGGTGCCATCTTTTGATTTATTACTAATTTCAGTCAATCTTACTAGTCTGCTTTGCATCATCTAGCCATGTAGTTCCATTTTCCATGAACTCTTGTTTTTAAGATATCTTTGAGAAGATTATCAAGTGCATCAGCTCTATCTTCTTTTTCTTATAATCTCCATCATGGTGTTCACTTCTGCTTCCAAGACTTTCAATAGAATTTTTTATATCCTGGATTTCTACTTGGTATCATTTCATGATCTCTGATTATTTTCTGATTGTTCATGTTTTATATCCATTTGCTTAGCTCAATTAGCTTTTTATTAATATATTCAAATGTCACTGATCATTTTGTTTATTTAATCCATTATCTGTACCGTTATGTCATCTTCTAACTCACTGAACCCTGTATTGATTTTTTCATTTTCTCTTTTATCATTTCATGTATTTCAGCTATTTGGCTTTTGATTTTTTATCCATTGATGCTTCATGGGTCAGCTTTGGGAGAGTTCAGAGTTTTGGATACATTTTGTTGCCTTGTTTTCTCATTTTTCTATTTGTGTGTGTGTGTGTGTGTGTGTGTGTTTGTGTGTGCTCATGCACTGAGGGTTTAAGAGTCCTTAAAGACTTAAATTCTTTTCCTATGATCGGGAACTTTTAAAATATGAATTTGTAAATAGTTTTACAATGGTAAATGCCCATACTTGCAGTAGAAATTTTTATCTCCTGGGTTTCTGCTTGATGTCTTTTCATGGGCTATAATTCTTTCCTGAATTAGTTGTTCATGGCTTGAATTAGGTTGGTTAGCTCTGCTAGTTGTTGCTTGTAATACTCATTGAACATTTTGCTTATTGAGTCCATTATATTTTTAGTTCTATCGCATGTGACCTCATTAATTTTTCTTTAATTTTCTTTCATCATTTTATGTAATTCAGTTGTTTGTTTTTTTTAATTCCTTACCATTGATCCCCGTTGGATTCACTTTGGGAGAGTGGGGTATCTTTGTGGGTTAGGGGTTGCAGGTTAGTCATAGTGAAATGACTTTATTACTAATATGGAGATCTCTTAGTTGCTGTCTACTTTCCAGTTATACAATCCTGGCTTTGTTTGCATACTCAGCTTAATAGGATCAGGCCTGATGGCTGTTTTGCCAGTTTATAATCCCCACTTGTTATAACAGTGTGAACAGTTCCAACCATCATGTTACACTAAAACTTCCTTTAGCAATGTCACCCTCTTATCGATGTCTCTTATTGACTATACTATACTGCTATTAACAGACTAGAATGATAAAGAACTGGAGAAGAAAAAAGGAAGAGCAAGAAGGTGTTAAGCCATTAAGAAGAGAGGAAGAAAATAGAAATATTAAGTGAGAAACAGGAGTGTACACTGTTGGAATTATTTTTATGGCTTGAGTAGAGGGCCAGTGTTGAAGGACTTTGAATAAATGTTTGTGAACATAGAAGGCAGAATGTAGAGGTAAGGAAGTATAAATAGAGATTTGCAGAGCTGTGAGATTGTCAGATCCTATTACTTTATTGGTAGCTGTTTTGTGTTTGTATCCTTTAGGCACAGTTTTGGTGAGCGTTACCTTGCCATGCCCATGAATGGGACTATTTAAATTGTCTATCTTGAAAGTATACATGTAATGGGCTGTACTCACTTTGCTATATAACAAGAGTAATATTTCTGTTCTTGCAATCACTTAATGTATTGTCTATCATCAACACTGCATTCTGGTCTTATACTTAAAATAGAAACGGTTCTCTTTTTCTTGTACCTTTGTGGAAAAGATTTGTTATGGGTAGAAGATTTGCTTTTCATTATATTTCCCCTGTAAATTCAACTCATTTTTTTCAATAGATAGTTCAATCATTGGTAAACTTAGGGAATTGAGTACTTCTTTGAAATCCTTTATAGCCTTAAAAATTCTGGGAAATAACAAAAACATGGCCAATTTTCTGAGTGGTATCAGTTACTTTTCTTTTTTATCAGGAAGCTAAAAACATTATTTTACTTGAAATATTTTAAGATAAGGCTTATTTTTATTTTCTCAGTAATTTCTTCATTGCATATTTCATATCTTTGTTTCTTAGGCTATATATAACAGGGTTAATGAGTGGAGTAACTACAGAATAAAACAGAGTCACAATCTTCTGCATACCAGCTTCATGCTCAGATGTTGGGCTCACATACATAACCATCACTGAGCCATAGAAAAGAGAAACCACAGTAAGGTGGGACCCACAGGTAGAGAAGGCCTTTCTTTGCCCTGCTGCTGTAGGAACTCTCAACACAGCTCTGAGAACCAGCACATAAGAACCCATGATGAAGACAAAGGGAATAAATAAAAGTAGAGAACTTAAGGTGGAGCTAGTCAACTCTACTGCAGGGTCTCTGTAACAGGCAAGGGCTAACAGAGGACCTGGGTCACACAAGAAGTGGTCAATAATCCTAGATCCACAGAAGGACATTTGGGAGATGATGATGATGGGAACTGGGAACCAGAGGAAACCAAGTACCCAGCAGCCTAGCACAAGATTGGTGCAGAGACCTCTGGTCATCATGGACGGATAGTGTAGAGGCCTGCAGATGGCAAGGTACCGATCAAAGGCCATAACCGCCAGGAAAAAGCATTCAGTGGAACCCAAGGAGAAGAAGAAATAGAACTGGAGAAAGCACCCAGAGAAGGAGATGACCTTGGTGTCAGAGAGGAAGTTGGCCAACATGTTGGGGACTGTGGAGGTGACGTACCAGATCTCCAGGAAGGAGAAGTTGGCCAGCAGGATGTACATGGGCGTGTGCAGTCTCAGATCCCAGTGCACGGCACAGATGATGGAAGCATTGCCCATGAGGGTGAGGAGGTAGACAACAGAGAAGAGCACAAAGAGGAGGATCTGCCCCTCCTGGGGGCAGGGGAAGCCCAGGAGGATGAAGCCGGTGATGGTGCTGGAGTTGCTGGGGGCATGGAAAGTTTTCATCTGTCTATGAGCTGAAAAAGAAAAGAGAAAGTAAAAAAGATCAATGAAGGAGGTTGAGACAATGTAAGAAACCAAAGTCCAGCTGTCAGCTTACATTATCTCATGAGACAAGACTCTGTAAACAGAACTGTCCTTGGAAATGTCTTGAGCTCCGTGCTTGCAAACATGACAGATTACTCTAGACATTCTTTTACAAGGACATTTTAACCTTCAAACTAGAAAACTCTGTGCATGCAAATGGGACAGAGTACTCTTTTGAGGAAATGGGAGGGGCTGAAATCCAGTTGCAAGCTCTGGGCTTCTTGAGCATGAATCATTAATCTTGTGAGATAATTGGGATGTTCTGACAAACAGATAAAGTAGGAGAATTGTACTGTTAGTAGATGAGGGGGCTGCCCGAAAAGACTGTATAAAAATAAATGTGACTTGGTCCTCGGGGCTGCAGCCTTGTCGTGTGTGTGTGTGTGTGTGTGTGTGTGTGTGTGTCTGTTGTTTCTGTCATTTCTTCCTCACAGATCTAGAAGGACCATAACAGATCAAGATGCAATATATGTATGTTCCAAATTCTCCACGAGAACATATTTATTATGCACTGCAATCACGGTAATAACCCAAGGGGAAACATGCACCAGCAATAACAAATGACAGTTCAAAGACAAATTCACACTCAGATATATCCTTAGGCCAACTTGAGTAATGCAGTAAACATTTATATATTAATGGTCACTATTTCAGTCTAGTCCTGAAATATTGTCGTGTTAGATAATAGCTGTTAATCTGTAAAAGCCCTTAAGATTCAGTGAGTATCAATGGATATATGCAGAAATGTCCTTATTTTGAAGTGTATGGAAACACATTACATATCAATATACAGTTTACTAAAACACTGTAGCGAAAGTAACACTGTAACTTCTACCGAGGTCAAGAAATAGTGTGTCACTCATACCCTAGACTCTGCTCTCATGCTCTATACCAGTCACCCTCTCTGTGCCTCTATCTTACAGTTGTAACACTCTTCTTTCTTTACAGAACTCACTTTCTTATCTTTCTTTATGATTTAATAAGTATGACATACATTTTTTCTTACTTTTTCCTGATTTTGTGCTTTGCACAAATGAAGTTTTATGCCTGGACGTTTGGTGATTTCTTTTTTAACAGTGCTTGGAACTCTGTAAAATTTGGGTTATCCAGTGTATCTGGAGCTGGTCCACTACTACTGCTCTATACTATTTCATTATAGAAACAAATCACCACTTACTTAAGCACTGTACTGAAGGTGAATATCTTGATTTGTTTTCAGTTTGGGGTTATTAGAAGTAATATTATTAGGATCATATACAGAATCTTTTCTGGTTCTCTGTACATTCATATGTGTAGAGTGTGTATTTTCAACTTTAGCAGATTAAGCTGAAGAGTTTTCCTTCATTACTGTACTACTTTTCACTCCCATTGGCAGTGCATGAGTGTTCTGATTGTCATCGGCCTTCTTAATGTTAAGGACTTCACCAAAGCCTATGAAATAACATCATGTAGATGGCATTATATATCTATTATTTATTTATTTTTTGTACTGGTGATCTAGGTAGGGCTTTGCACTTGTGAGGCAGGTGGTGGCACCACTGAGCAAAATCCCCAGTCCCTGTACATATCTAATACATTTTGCCTTAAGATATTTTCTTTAAGAATAAAGATATTAGGGCCGAGAATTTAGCCCAATGGTTCTACCACCTGCCTTGCAAGGGCAAGGACCTGAGTTTGATCCCTGGTACCAAAAATAAATAAATAAACAAATAAATTAATAAATACAAATGGTTGGTTTAAAAAAAAAAGAATGAAGATGTTAACATTACGGTCATGTCTGAAGCAACTATTTAATTAAAACTTCTTTTGGAGCCATAAGAGTACATGCCTGCTAAAAGAATGGAAGGAGTGACTAAGGAAAATTTACTACAGCAGGTGAATATGACTTGTAGATCATAAATTATATAAATTTAAATACTTTTTACATCTACAGGTTTAATACTCAGATAAAGTCAGTCAGTTCTTTGTAAATCAAAAGAATATGTTACTAAATATGATTGGGCATTTCAAATCAAGACGTAGGGCAGGGTATTTCTAAAAGGTTGCATTCTGAGATAATCATTTTGCTCATCATTTCAAATTATATTTAGCAATGAAAGGTTTTGTTACTGTTCAAGAACTCCCCTCCTCCAGTCTGTTTTAGTGTTACATTTATTTCCTTTTCTTATCTCCCAAGTCTAACTCATCAGTAAGACTGGCTGCTTCTATTGCTAACATATGACTCACGTATTTCTATTTTTCTCTACTGTTGTGCTCTAAATTCAAGTCATCATACTTTTTCTCTATCAATTTTCTGCAGTGGCATCCTAAAGCAGCTCATCTTTTCTCCCTTTTACACTTCATTTTCCATGCAGCAGCAGCAGCAGCAGCAGCAGCAGCAGCAGCAGCAGCAGCAGCAGATTACTTAAAAAAATAACAGCTGAAATATAAATCATGTTTGACCTTTGAGTAAAACTATTCCCCCTGAACAATTCTGTCTCTGGAAGTCTTACAGAGATGTTATCAAGAGTAAGAAAGATGTGAAAACAATTCTAAGTGGATCAAAACTATTTTATGTCAAATTTAACATATTTAAGCAGACCTCACTCTTCCTTACCTTTTATTACTTCTCTCCTCTGTGCAGAAGAAACTATGTTGTGCCAAAAGTCTCAGGTGGAACTGTCAAAACCCAAACCAAACTTAAATGAAAAATTCTAAGGCTGTGGATGTAGCCCTGAGTTCCATCCCAAACAAAAACAAAAACAAACAACAGAAAAAGCCAAACAAAACAAAATTAAAGATCTAGTCAATTCACCCCACATCTGCTGCTGGGAACACAGGTAAAGTGCTGTGTGGTTATGGCACCAGGCTCCTAGCACTGTTAATGAACAGCCACAAGTGCCTTTTGGGGAACTAATTTACTTGTCAGTAAACTTCAGAAAAGCTGAATCAGGCAGGCTGTGTCAAAACATAGTTTGAAAGGAAAACATTTCCTCAAATTTTAATTTTCCTTCAAAATTTGATGTAGTAGAAATCTTTGAATTACTTTACTTTGTTGTTCCACTCTCCACAGTCAGTCCATACCTCAGGACAACACAATTTCCTCCTACACTTTTTTTTTTTTTTTTTTTTTTTTTTGGTGAAAGGACTAGTATATCTGCAGCACTGGCTAATCTATTTCCAGAAAATACTTTTAAAAAGTAAGGATAGTCGTTGAGATTGGGACAAATGGTAGATAGCTGTGTCTAACAAACATTCCCAAATTTAGGGTGGAGCTTTCTTTGTCAGTCATGGTAAGTTAATACTGTCCTAGTTATAAAGTGCACACAATAATATGTTTTGAAAGGGCTCCAGCAATATCTTGATCAGTTCCTGACCACTAAGAGTTTAGGAAATATTGGTCTATAAGTATGAATGTCAGAAATTCAAAGACAGCTGGGGGTAGAAGAATTCTAGCTGTGAGTAGAGGCAGAATTATGTTCTGCAGCTATAGTTTTTGTCCTTCTGAACAATATATTGTCTTATTACCTATATCACAAAAAGGAATCCCAAAGTGAAGATTGCAGGAGTTTCCTTTTAATTTTCTTAGCAGTGATAATCTTTGTGGCAGAACCAGAGTGATGAGAAAGGTGGAAATTGTGACAAGGATCCTTGAGTTTACTTGCTGAAGGATGGAGGGATTGTAAGCAGAGCCTGACAGGAAGCAAGTTACCAGGTTTCTGCTGATCCTTGAGGATCCATTTATTGCTTCTAAAAGGAGCACCCTGTCAAGAGACATTCTGTGCTTGTTATCACTTTCCCTGGGGCATGTCTTAATTCTTGTTTTTTTTTTTGTGTGTGTGTGCAAGTTGATACAATACCTTTGCATGCTTTAAACTCATCAAGGGTAGACTAAAATATTAAAAAAAAGCTAATTGACTGCTTGATTAAGTAGTTAGCCAACCAGTAATACTCTCTCTAACTCCTCTAAGTGTGGCCAATGAATAATCCTGCAAATCCGAAGGAAGTAAAAGCAGCCTTAAATGTCCCTAACACAGCTGACATTCACAGCGGGGCCTCAGTTACACAAGCTGGTCTGACACAGCTAAATTGTACTATTCTCTTATTGACCTGATTTAACAGAATACAACCTCATACAAGCTCAGAGATCATGATAAAATGAGATAAAACAAACTGACTTCATAATGTTCCCTAAAAATAGGCAAGAACAATATTGCAGTGCCACCCATAAATTATCAAGCATTCTCCTATCTTGTCTAAAATGAGTAACTGATACCTTTTGGGGGACCAATTACCATTTTACTTTCCTTCTTTCTGTGAGATTTTTAAGACTCCTAGCTGTCAAAGTACCCTTTTATATGATGTCCAATTACACCCTACTACAATTTCCTTAGACTTTCCCCCAAATCACCCTATCAAAGCACAAATCTTTCAGTTGGTTCTCTTAAAAATCATCTTACAGGGACATTTCAGGATTTCTTCATGGTTTATATTGTCCCTTGTTATGAAGAGTAGTCAACATAACTTGTTCATATAGAATTATTCCTGTGGCCTTGGACTAAAGACATTAACAAACTTAAAATAAGGTGGCTTTGAAGCAAACAGTTTTCCCCATGGGACTTTATTCAGAGATCTCTAAGAAGACAACTCTATCTATGGACAACTTCCAGGCTCCAGGATGTTGCTACTTTAACAAGGGTCAGTCAGCTGCAGTCTTTTTGCAGCTTCTTTCTGAACAGAGATAAAGAGGAGGTTGGCTCTGAGTTTACTCACCTCCAACAAAGAGGAAGATCTTTTAACACAACTGATCTCCCATTTCCCTACTGTGCAGAGGTTTTCACCTAAAAAACATATGAGTTCACTTTCTCAGGTGGGGACAATTTATATCTTATAGAATTTCACAGTCCCTGTACTGGCAAGTGTGACACTGCAGTACATCCTTGTTCACTTTTTGGCCCCATTTCCCAGTTGCTTGCCACTTGTTGGTAAAACAAAGCCACTCAAGCACAAAGCAGACACTTAAGTAATGTGCTCTGAGGCAATTTTGCCATCTAGAAAATGTAAACAATCCCTATTTTAGTGTGTTTGGATATTATTACTAAATACCATAAAATGGTTATATTTTAAACAATAGAAATTTATTTCTCACAGTTCTGGAGGTTTGGGAATCTAAGATCAAGCTTTCAGGAGATTCTGTCTAAGGAGGGCTAGTTCACAAGTGGTGCCAACTCCCTACATCTACATGCATATAGTAGAAGGGTAAGGGATTTCTTGGACCTCATTTTTTTTTTATTCTGGGGATCGCAGGCCTCTTTCATGAGGGCACTAATGTTAGTCAGAGTGCTCAACCATCCTGGCCTAATCATCTTCTAAGAGCTCAACCTCCAAGTAGCCACAACACTGGGGAAAAAACAAGCATTCAGTTCATTGCAAACATATATTGTGAATGGTTTGCAAGGAGAGGGCCAAGTTCTGTGGAGAAAATGGGCAAGAAAAGCAAGTGTAATTAGTTAATTAATTAATAATATTCAGAGGTATCTGCACTCCTCTAACCTCTTTTCTGTTCTTCCCTTTTTATCTCTTTTCTGCATTTCTTTTATCTTTTCCTCATCTCTAGGTTTGATCTGAGACTATGTGATTAGAAGAGTTTTTGTGGCTGTATAATCTACATGCAATAAACTGTATACATTTAGAAACATATAATTTGATTTATTTTTACTCATAAGCACTATGAAACCATCACCATAATCAAGACAGGAAATAAGGTCCTCATCCCCAAAGTTTCCCCAAGGCCTTTGTAATCTCTTTCTTTTCCTCTAGGAAACTTTTTAGGGGAACTCTGCTGTTCCTCTCCCTGCAGATGAGTGTGCACTTCCCAAAGATTAGGTGAAATAAATCAGGCACAAAAGCCAAAAAAAAAATTGAACCTATAGAAAAAAAAATAGGATAGCAATGCTCAGAGATTGTGAAGGATAAGTGTGGGATAAAAAGAAATGGAGAACCCAATTCAAAAATGGGCATCTGAAATTAACTGATATTTTTTCAAAGAAGTAAAAAAAGCAAATAAACATGAGAAAAATGTTCAACATCACTGGTCATTTGAGAGTTGCAGATGAAAACAACACTGAGATTCCATCTCACTCCAGTAAGAATGGCTGCTATCAAGAAATCAGCCAATAATAAATGCTAGCAGGGTTGTGGGGAGAGAAGAACTCTTCTCCATTGTTGGTGGGAGTGCAGACTGGTGCAACCACTGTGGAAATCAATATGGAGATACCTCAAAAAACTAGGATTAGTGGTCCCATTTGACCCAGCTATTCCTCTGATGGGTATCTCCCAAAAGAATCATACCTTAGCGATATATATGCATCCATTCATAGAGGCACAGTTTATAATAGCTAAAACTTGGAAACAGCCCAATTGTCAATCAACTGGAGACTGGATAAAGATATGTGTGTGTGTGTGTGTGTGTGTGTGTGTGTTTCAAAATGGAGTACTACTCAGCCCTAAAGAAAGTAATTTACAGCTAAATGGATGTAAATTGAGGCCTTACTCTTAAGTACCAAATAGTTTCTCTGGTGTGAAAAACTAAAAGTTTAAATAAGGATCAAAATGTATAATTGATAATGTGAAATAGGAAGAAAAGGTCAAAAGGGGAAGTGGAAGTGGGATGGGTTGAGAGACCAAAGAAGGGAGTGGAATTAATATGAGAAAATGAAAATATGGAAGCAAAATCTTTGCAAATAGGGAGGGGTGGAGGGGTTGAAGGGAGGGCAGGGGAATGGGGAAAAATAATCAAGATAGATTATGTAAAGGTGCAACTTTCCAATGATGAATGTCATTTCAATTTATCAAGCCCCATAGAAAGGGGCCTCTGACCAGGCCCCACCTCCTAACAGAAATGTGGCCCCCATCATTCGTTCACTCTCCAAAGCCCTGCATGTGAGCCCACGAGGCCTTTGGGGCACGTGCTCCATCCAAATCACCACACACGTACTCACTGATTTCTTGGCTATTGTGAATAACATTGCAATGAGTATGAGTGGTAAGACCTCTATCTCTATAAGGTGCTATTTTCTCATTTTTTAATTTGAGTTATTTATTTTAAAATTTTATTGTACACATTTGCAGTATGTGGTAATTACATTCATTGTAGGGAATTGGTACATGTACTAAAAACCTCTCAATCATGTTTTTCACCCTCTCTCTGCCTCACCTCTTTTAGTTTGCTAGCATCAGATTCATTTATTTATCTTAAAAGTTCTTGGAAAGTTAATTATCATATATACAGAAACCAAACTAGTAGGACTAAAATATCTATAAAACACGTAAGACAATTATACATATCAAGGTACACTTTTAGAATACAATAACTGGTTTCTTTTTCTGTTTTTTCCTCTTACCTGTCTTCTGTTTGTACTTTGTTCATATACTAAGTTTTTCATGTAAGAGAAACCATGTGATATCTAGACTTGTGTGTCTGATTTATTTCACTTAACATTGTAATCTCGAGGTGCATCCATTGTCTTACGGATGACTTAACTTTATGCTCCTTTATGGCTCATCGCTTTATTTTTAAAGCATTTTTTATGTACTCTGAATGCAAATTGTTTAACAAATATATGCTTTGTGAATTATTTTTTTCCCGTGTAGCTGTGTTTTTCTTGACAGAGTCTTTCTAAGGGAAAATGTA